TTTCTAAAGATATAACCAGGTGAATGACAATTCATATGTTCGTGAATTTCAACCTATTTCTATAGACGTAAGCAGGTGAAAGTTCATCACTTCTTGAATTTGAAATAATTTCTATAGATATAACAATGTCAATGACAAATCATCTCTTAATGAGTTTCAATACATCCTATAGATATGATCAATGACAATTAATCTCTTCTTGAATTTCGACGTATTTATGTAGATACCACCTTGTCAATGAAATTTCATCTGCCTTTGAAATTCAAGGGATTTCTACTGATATAACCTAGTCAATGACAGTTCTTATCGTACTGAATTTAAACGAAATTCTATAGATATAAAATGGTCAATGACAACTTCTTGATTTTCACCGCATTTCTATAGATAATGCGTGGTCAATCAAAATTCGTCTTTTTCTGAATTTTAAAACTCTCGTATAGATATATCCTGGTCAATGACATTCCCCTCTTATTGAATTAACGCATTTCTATAGTTATAACCTGGTCAATAAAAATTGATCACTTGTGGAATTTTAACGCATTTCTATAGATATAACACGGTCAATAACAATTGATCTCTTCCTGAATTTCAACGCATTTCTATAGACATAACAATGTCAATGACATTTCCCCTCATCTTGAATTTCAACGCATATCTACAGATACAACCTGGTCAATTATAATTCTTTTCTTTCTGAATTTCAACGCATATCTATAGATACAACCTGGTCAATTATAATTCTTTTCTTTCTGAATTTCAACGCATATCTATAGATATAACCTTACAAATGATAATTCATCTCTTCATATTTCTTTATAATTATTTATTTTTAGCAAACGCTTTTCTGAATTCTTGACCACTGCTGATTCTTGTTTCTTTGTTTTCAAGGCATTTAATGAAATTACATAGAATTCATTATATAGTAAAATTATATAATATCATTTTATCTTCATATTATGCATATAATTACGAATTCCTGATCACTGATTATCCATTTCTTTTTGATTTTTATAGCATTTTCTACTAAAACGATTTGCAATGCAATTCTATGCACAATGCATTTCTGTGCTAAAAATATTATCTATGTATTTACATTATACGTATAATAACCATATTTTGTCAATAATATTTTCATGGGTCCCTGATCACTGATAATCCATTTTTGAGTTTCAATATACAATATACAAATTGTAGGTAAAATATCTTAAATTAGGATGATGTCGTAGTTGTGTGGAAGTCAGTGGATAGTGATAAAAAAAGAAACTTTGTGGGTTGAAATGCAGTTTGCGTTCAAATGCATTGTTTCATGCTGTCAGCAGGAAGGTGTCATTAACGAGCTAAGCTCTTGTGCTCTGTCATTATGAACGGAACCCATTCATGACGACAGGGCAAGTAGGTATTTTACGTTGCGGACAGAGCTTTTTTGTTTAAACAAGGTATCATCCAGGTTTATCAGATCACCCTTCCAGTCAGTCTAGATGTTGGTACCTTCTCACTGGTTATCTCCATAGAAAGGGAAGAGATTACAAATAGTCGGCGATATTAACGTGTCGAAATAACTGATGGTAAGATGTGTGATGTTCCAAAGGGAACTAAGGCACCATTTCTATTCTTTCGTTAATACTAAATAGCTGGATATTTTCCAGACAGACATGCGCAGAATAGGCAATATTTTTGAAAAGTGTTAAACAGTTTAAAAAATAAATAAATAAAAGAAAACAGATGAATAAGAGAGAAGCAGTTAATTAAAAGTGATTAAAATTTAAGTTAAATCAAATAACTGACAACAGAAAAGTAAATGCATTTTAATAAAAACATTTCAATTTTTAAATAATGAAGCACAGCGAAATTGGCGACTATTTTGGTGTCATATTAAATCAAAGTTATCTTTTCTTTAGTAAAAAAACATTAACTCCCCATAACTATAAAAAAATGACAAAGTATGAAGATTTATTTGTTTTAAGATTTATTTGTTTATTTACCAATTATTTGCATGATATCATCTAAAGATTTTTCTTGTGGGGACGATATTTTTTATATTTAATTATATATATATATATATATATATATATATATATATATAATTATAATTATAATTTTATATATAATTGCCGTGAAAGAAAGAAAAATACAAAAATGAACAAAATTGATATTTATTTTCTTTTTATTTCTTGACTAAAAACATTTTTTAATTTAGCTTTTTTGGTCTTGAATTTTCTTTACACGATTCCTAATTAAAGATTCAATCATAGGTTTTTATAAGGTCGCATGAGCAAAAATCAAGCCAGAATAACAGTTTTTTTTTCGACAATCAGGAAAAATCCCAAGAAATGATCAAAAACAACGATACGTTGTAAAATAGTCATAAGTTAATAATTAACAATAGAAAATCCTTGATCTAAGAATTCCGATCTCATAATATATATATATATATATATATATATATAAAATCTTAGATCCCATAAAATGTAGATTATATATTACAAAATTTATGAATTAAATTAATTTGTTAGCAAATCTGGCAAAAGTATTGACGTCGTCACTTACTGATCTTGTGAAAAACCTTTTCGGAAAGCGATAATTAACAAAAAATTGCAGTTTCTTGGCAAAAATGGCGTCTACGTTTATAATAATGACAATCGTTTTCTTGTTTTTTTTTTTAAAGAATCATCCGACTTTGTTGTGTACGTGTGACCAAGTATGCATTTTCTCGATGAAAAACAGTCATTTTTCATAGTTAAACTTGAGATGATTGTTTCAGTAGTAAAAATAGTAGTTGTAAGTAGAGAAAAGACAGTGGGTCAGAATTGGTCATAATGGCCGTGCAAAAGGTGGTGGAATACTTGTTAACTACAAGTAGTGAAAGGGTTGATTCGATTAAATGTGGACAGTAGACTCACTATACTTAAAAACCTTCTTCTTCATCTTCTTTTGCTTCTCTGTGGAGTCTCTTTATTATTTTCCTTCTTTATTCAAAGGCTGTTTGACAGATCATCTTTTCTATTTTTTTAATCATTTTAAAGTATCATCAAGAAATTCTACACTTTTTATATTTTCTAACAGCTCCTTTCTTTCTTCTTTCTTTCTTTCTTCTTTCTTCTTTCTTTCTTTCGTTTGTTTTGCTCTTTTCTTCCAATTTTTTCTTTCTTTTATATTTCCCTTTTCCTCTTTTCTACCAGTTTCCTTTCTTTCTTTCTTTCTTTCTTTCTTTCTTTCTTTCTTTCTTTCTTTCTTTCTTATACAATTCACATATTTTCCTCGATTTTTCTCGATTCATAATGCAAACTCATTCAGAATAAATCGTTTCCTGTCAATACGCTAAATTTCGTAATGTGAAACATTTTTTAAGCTAATGGAATTAAAATAATTCATTATGCGGCATAACCCACATAGATGTCAAAATGCCATATAATAATATTTATGATATTTATTTCTAAATTTATCCTTACATTTTAACATTTTAGAAAAAGATTTGAAATTTCATTTTGTTTCTTTGTCATTTTCACTTTCTTTCCTTTCGTCGCCGCCACATTTTCTTTTTCTTTGATAACTTTGCGTACGTTTTCAGCGATTTTTTCGATATATTCTGAATTTTTGGTTCTATTTTTTGTTCATTTTTTCTGCGTTTAAATTTAAAAAAATATTCTCCATGTTCCCACTTAATTGTTTTATTCTTTCTTTTTCTTCATTATCTTTTCTCTGTTCTTCATATCTTCTTTTTTTCTATTTTTTCTGCTTACTTTCTTCCAATTTTTCCTTTATTGCTTCATTCAATTTTCTCCTCTGTTTTCGTTAATTTTGTTTTTTTTTCTTATTCGCATAAAATTCTTCTTTTTTCCTTCCCTTTATTTTTTCTTTCTTTACTTATCGATATTAATTTATACCTATATTTTTATTCTTCTTATTAACTTTTCATTCTTCTTCTCTTTTCTTTCTTTGTATTTTCTTTATTTCTACTTTTTTTTTACATAGCCTTTTTCCCGCCTTAGTTTTTCTTCTTTTCCTTTCTTTTTTCTACTTTTCCTTTATTTCTGTCTTTCTTTTTTAGCTAGCCGTTTACTTTCCTTGCTTTTTCTTTTTTCCTTTTTCTCTCTCTTTATCTAACTCTTCCTTTCTCTCTCTCTCTCTCTCTTTCTTTCTTTCTATTTACTACTTTTTACTATATTTCTGTTTTTCTTTTTTACATAGCCTCTTTTCTTCCATCTTTCTTTCTTTCTTTCTTTCTTTCTTTATTTTTGCCTTTCTTTTTTACACAACCCCTATCCTTTTCTTACTTTTTCTTTTTTCATATTTCTTTCTTTCTTTCTTTTACTTTTTTCTCTATTTCTGTCTCTTTTCTTTCATTTTTCTTCTTTTCCTTCGTTCTTTTCTTTCTTTTTTCTACTCTTTTCTTTATTTTTGCATTTCTTTTTTTACACATCACCTTTTCTTTTCTTACTTTTTCTTCTTACTCTTTCTTTCTTTCTTTCTTTCTTTCTTTCTTTCTTAAGTAGGCTCTTATCCTATTTAATGGAACAATTCGAAGAGGCTCTGTTTTGGCTGACCACATCTGAGCCCCTCCCTCATAAATCTCACTCCTCATCTAAACTGTCCTCATCCTTCCACTTTCTTGTCCTCCTTTCCTTTCTTCTCTCGCCACACCTCTCCCTATCACCCACCCCCGTTTTGTTTATTTTGTTTTTGTCTGCTGCTGTCAGTGCTGCTGCTGCTGCTTCTATCACTGTTGTCGTTTTTCTTTTGGAGTTTTCCCAGCATCTCACAAAGCGCCTCGTTTACGTTTTCATCTTCGCACTTCTGTTTTCGCACAGCCATCTTCTGCCACCACAACAAGCGTCTTAACTGCAACCACAACACTTAGGCGGAATGGTAACAACTGATAAGAAAGGGAGAGAACGAGGGGAGATTTTTAAAAAAATCATTTTCGCCATTATCATCATCATCATCATCATCATTACCCATCACCACCAACAACCCCACCATCAAAAGCAGTGCTTTCCTTTCTAATACACCATTATTAATGCTTTCTTAATCATTTTATTGGGCACACTATCATCAGTAGCATTCTTTTGCGGGTAGGAGAAAGCGAGAGAGAGAGAGAGAGAGAGAGAAAGAGAGAAAGAGAGAGAGAGAGAGAGGGGAGAGGGAAAGGGAAAGAGAGGGGGAGTAATTTTCTTTCCATATATCTGAATTTTACTTTTATTTATTGATTTATCTACCTGTCTTCTAGATCTAGCGTTCGTGTAAAAAGAATGAGGATTCTTTAATAGTTCGGCCGTGTGTCTGTTTTTAAGGTATACATAAACGGATTTAGTTGATACTAACTGAGGGGTTAGATAGATAGATAGATAGATAGATAGATAGATAGAGAGAGAGAGAGAGAGAGAGAGAGAGAGAGAGAGACAGGAGAAGAGAGAGAACGCTGTTATTAAATAGTTTATTTTATGAACGTGTAACAAATTAATATGCGAGCAGACTGATGTGCGCTGAATATAAACGAATAAGTTCAGTAATAATAAGAGTAATAGATAGATAGATAGATAGATAGATAGATAGATAGATAGATAGATAGATAGATATAGACAGAAACACAGACAGAGAGGCGGACAGACAGATAGATAGATAGAGAGAGAGAGAGAGAGAGAGAGAGAGAGAGAGAGAGAGAAACTGACAGGTAGACGGACGGACGGACCGACAGACAGAGAGACTGATATATATATATATATATATATATATATATATATAGATAGATAGATAGATAGATAGATAGATAGATATGAACAGGTTGAAATAAATACTGACAATAGCGATAGAAACAGGTAGAGAGAAAAGCAGAGAGATAAACAGAGAGAAAGAGAAAGAGAGAGAGAGAAGGAGAGAGAGTGAGGGAGGGAGAGAGAGAGAGAGAGAGAGAGAGAGAGAGAGAGAGATAGAAAGTGAAATATATGGTGGCCTTTCTTGAGGAAATGGATTTGTCATTGAAGCCCCACAAAATCTGTCAAATATTCCGGCCTGAGCAGCAAGAAAGACAAAAACTATTTTTACCCTCTCATCAACAGTACAAATCTTATGACATCGACTCTCTTTTAAGCGACGTCAGCACCTCCTGTAAAGAGTCTTATCCACAACAAAGTGAATATATTAATAGCAATAACAAAAACAGTAACACTAATGGCAACAGAGTTTCCACGTCACTGTCACATTCAACAAAAGTCATGAGCACCCATCACAGAAACCATAATAATAATAATAACAATAATAATAATAATAATAATAGCAGTATTTGTGACGAGATCGGTGGTGGCAAAGGGGAAGATGGTTGTGTTAGTGGTGATGGTCGTACTAGTATAATAATTAGTGGAAATGGTCACAACGACGAAGAAAGTAGTTTTATTAGTGGTAGTAATAACGCGAGAGTTGTCCGGGGTGATGATGAATCGAGTGAATGTCCGATTAGAGCAGGTGGCAGAGGTTCATCTTTGGCTGCTAGTGACAGTGACATGGGGACAGATAATAATACCGACTCAGGTAAGTACTTTAATTACCTGTCATCTTAACTTATTTTTATTTTTTTAATTTTTGAAGAATTTTCCATTTATACATGTGAGATAGATTCAGTAATCCAATTGTTTTCGAGAAAATCAATTATTCAATATTTTCTTAATCACTTGTTGATTGTTGTAATTCTTTCTTTTATATTTTCCTTTTTCTCTTTTCTTCCAATTTTCTCCTTTTCGTTGTTTCTTTTTTTCTTTCTTTTGATGTTAATATTTTCTTTCTTTTTTTTTTTTTTTTTTAATATGTTCTTCCTTTCGTTCTTTTTCTTATCTTAATTTCGTGTTTAATATTTTCTTTTTCTCAAATTTATTTCGTTTTTATTTTCTTTTTCTTTCTTTCTTTCTTTTTCTCAATTTCGTTTTTAATATTTTCTTTCTTTTTCTCAGCTTTATTACTTTTTTCTTTTCTTTTTTATTTATTTATTTTTCTCAACTTTATTTCATTTTTAATATTTTTTTCTTTCCTTTTCTCAACTTTATTTCGTTTTTATTTTCTTTATTCTTTGTTTTTCTCAACATTAATTCGTTTTTAATATTTTCTTTCTTTCTTTCTTTCTTTTTCAAATTTTATGCTTTTTTTATTCCTTAAATCCATCAACAAAATATACAAATTGGCTTTCTATTACATTTTGTCCTAAATTTGATTTAAATGTTGAATTTTCAGCCGAGCGTCATTTTAATCCAAAATTTATTTTCAGCTATTCTTCTAAAACCTTGTGAAGGAAAAAACAAAACAACCAAAAAAACAACAATAACACAAAACAGTAGCACATGGATTGGATTCAACTTGTCAAATTTAAATATCGAAATATTTTGCTTAATTTTATTTTTATATCTATCGTTTTGTGTATATATTACAAAAATATGAGAATGTCTTTCTATAGAACTTCCAAAAAGTCAAACAAAAATGTAAAAATTGGAAATTGAATGTGGGTCGACCGAGAATATTTCAGCACTCCACGTATTTTTAAATTTGTCACGAATATTCATAATATGATTGTTATTAAAATTGCAGAATTATTTTAGACTAACAAATATGTAGATACACACAAATATATATATATATATATATATATATATATATATATATATAACACAAGATTTCGCTTTTATTTATCATCACTTGCCTTCATAAAGTCGAATGATGAAACCCGTCGGCAAGAACTAAGTACTATTTTCCGATTGTTTTTTTTTTTATTCAATTAGTCATGTCTTCAGAGTTATTCTGAGAAATTTAACAATATATATATATATATATATATATATATATATATATATATATACAATTGTATATTTCAGCAGCAATCTCTCTTTTATACAAGTTTCATTAAAGATGATTGATAAGGTACTGCGATTAAGCTTTTTTATTCATTTTTTATTGTTTTCTTATAAGTGTTTTTTTTTCTGGACATAAAGTGTGTAAAAACTGTCCAAATATTCTATATATCTGAGCGATTTCGGCTAATCTGTTAGTCATTATCAAGGATATTTTTTTTTAACTGAACACATAGATTTTAATAAACGTATTTCTATAATGATGAGAATGTTTTTTTTTAATTTCCCAAATATGGTCAGCACATTGTGGCCGTGTTCATAATTGATATTATTGTAGGTTGACTTTTTCGCATTTATTATTAATGCTTCCATTTTTTTTTACTCTTATTTTACATGTGTATGAGGTTATTATAGACTATTATAGTCTATCTAAGTTTTTTTAAAATAATTTAATTTTTCTTGTTCTGGTCGACATGAAGATGACGAGACAAAGGCGAAAAGCTTATAAATGACGCGTTTGATGACTTCCGCTTCTTCAGGTCGAAATGAAAGACAAAACTGCGTGAAAGAAAAATGAGTAGGAAAAAGAGGAGCACTCAACGCATTTCCCTTACACACAATTTGTCCTTTATTCTGACCCGAAGAAGCCGAACCGAACATACGTCGACGAAACGCGTCGTTTATTAGTTTTCCACTTTCACCATCTTAACTTTTGTTTCGGATATTATTATGCGTTCTAAAAACACACATACATACACACACACACGCACACTTGTTTGGAAGAACACTTGCCGTCTAATTATAACACACACACACACACACACACACACACACATACATATATATATATATATATATATCCGAATGTAATGAGAACGAAAATAATATATAAATTCTAACGTTCACATCATTAATTTCAAGGAGGGCTTAATACCGATAGTAGAGCAATAATTATTTATTATAATTTTTTCATATATATATATATATATATATATATATATATGTTACAAGTTTTTCATATATGTAAAAACAATTTACACACTACAAAAATGCAACTTCATTTTAGTGCATTTAAAATTGCACTTCGACTGTTATGCGGCTTGCTTACAAACAGAATTGTTCATAACCATTTAGGTTCTCACCAGTCGAAGTGCAATATTAAATGCACTGAAACGTAGTTGTATCTTTGTAGTGAGTAAATTGTTTTTGTCTATATGAAAAAATTATTATATATATATATATATGTGTGTGTGTGTGTGTATGTGTGTGTGTTTTATAAATAAAATAAATCTGTAAAGACAATATAAATAGAATGCAAAAGAAAAAAATGTTTGCCAATCGGTATCGACGCCTCAAGATCTTTATTGAGGTAAATGTGAAGATTTTATTTCGTATTTTATTTTTTTTGCATCTTGTACACACACACACACACACACACACACACACATATATATATATATATATATATATATATATATATATATATATATATATATATATATATAGATAGATAGATAGATAGATATGGCTATATGATAATAGAATTACAACATATCGCGCATATAGTGCAGGTGTTAACGAAACATTGCTCAATGTAATGAAACAGAAAAAATATTTGCCATTTTATTATATTTTAAATTTTATTTTCTTAATTATATTTTTCTTCTCTCCTTTCTTTTCTCCCACATATATTTTGTTAACTTTACTATTTTTAAGGTTCAATAATAAACACATGTAAAATTAAGTATCATCATATCAGCCTTTTGATAGCCAGAGATATTTGGATTCAAACCGTAAAAGTCATTTGAACTCTGCACCCGATGATTGCGTCGTATATGAAACTCAGAGTCGTGTCGGAAGTGTGAGACAGTATATATATATATATATATATATATATATATATATATATGATTGACTGGTATGAAGGCTCAACAGATCAGTTTTAACCCGGAACCGCTACCTACACATATGATTTAATTATAGTGGTGAGGGCTTGAGTAGAACCAGGCAAACTTTTCGGTAGAACTAAAGAAGAGGATATAGTCTTCAGCGTTCCACGTAATCTCAAACAGCTCGCATCATCCTTTATTGTCACGGGATTTGACCTATCCGGAATAATAAGGACATTTAATTAAATTTTCTAAAATTCCTCCCATAAAAAACATGGTTTGAATTCGATATTTCTTCCTCATGGAATGATTGACAGTCTACACAAGAGAACCGAAGAAAGATAGATTTACATCCTTATATATATATATATATATATATATATATATATATATATATATATAGAGAGAGAGAGATAGAGATAATATTAGTAGCATATATATATATATATATATATATATATATATATATATATATATATATATATATATGTACGAGGATAGAATCCAGGTAGAGCTCAATGTTCAAGACAGAGCAAGAATATAATATAAAAAGCTTAAACACTAATATTCTATAGTTATAATTTATTACATTGGAATCGTAATCACGATCAGTTCATCAGACCTACAAATTCCAAAAACTGTAGATCTGATGAATTGGATCAATGGATTCAATATAATGTATACAATAATGTGTTTAAGTTATATATATATATATATATATATATATATATATATATATATATATATATATATATATAACTATCAGTTTAAACATTAAACATTATTTTTAGGAAATATTTGAATAGGCGCTTTGATTATTTATTAAACAGTATATTTATTTTTTTTGTTTTCTATCGACCTAAATGTTGGAGAAAATTTATTAAAGAAAATATTTGTGCTCTCTGGCCCTCTCTCGAAAATTCAGGCAAGTAATACCCACTAAAAATAACTACGAAGTGATAAAAATATGTCGGACTGATCAAAAAATGCCTGTATATATATATATATATATATATATATATATATAATTATACCATTTTGTGACTGGAAGGTATAATCCCGAGGAGGATATGAATCCAGGGAGAGCTCAATGTAGACTCCAGAGCATTATAATGATAATAAGATTACGAAGACTTTACTTATCCATTTCGTTTACCGTCCTGGGTATGAGGATAAACTACATCCGCGTCTAAGGTAAGACGATAAACGTCCAACACCAAGGCCTCGGATCAGAAGGCTTTGAGGAGCGTGGAACCAC